CAACGAGGGGAGACTGACATAAAACATTGCTTGACAAAATCAAACTGCTTTTCATCAGAAGTATCACACCCAGGGACATACACAGATGTTGCAGATCTTAGATTTACTGTGTCTTTGATAATATAACTATTTAATTAAGTCATATGCAGCTAGTTATTTAAGCCGTGAACTTCTGACTACAGCATGTTCCTACAAATATTTTCATATCATGATTAAAGAAAGTAGCACAAAAAATCACCTGAATGAAACACCTCATCTTCCAGGTTTTTCCAAAACCTACAGAGAACATCAATGTACCAATTGTAACTCTACTACTGGCTACTGTCTCATAAACCAATCACTTCCTTTGACAGCTCAAATTACATCTTGGAGAGAGGTGAGGCCTTTGAATTGCTTCCTCTAAAGTTTATTAGTTTTTCCTTGTCTTTGGGCTGCTGTAGGTTCACTCTGTTTCAACAAATCGTCACCACTGCTAAATGCAATGTACTCGCAGCCTATTTTAGAAAAAGAAGAAGCATTCACTTTGGGTAATCACCAAAATGTAACTTAACACAGAAATCTAATTTCCCGTTGGCACCTTGGAAGTAGAATTGTTTTTCAAATTGTTAAACCAGAAGATCTTGTTGAATTCTTTGCTTGTTTGTTTTTAACCTCTTGGAAACAGAAACCTATTTCCAGGAAAAAAATAACATACCCAAAATGAATCTGTAATAACTCCTCGAACATTAGGCCTAGATGCATAATTCTGGTCTCCTTTGATAGGTCAGAAGCTAAGGAATATGAATCAATTCCATTAAAGACTAAATGGAGATGGAGATATTTTCATCCTCGCCTGGTATAAAATCTATATTTTAATAGTTTCAATATCACCATCAAAACCATCATCCTGTAGATTATAATGCAAATGAATATCTTCTAATACACCTGGAATACAACTAACTGTAAATTTGATGAAAAGAAACTAATATACAACAGTTATTACACAATTTTCCAAAATATACCAAGTTAATGTTCATGTTTAGCCCGTATTTACTGTTTAGCCCATATTATATGTTCACTTTTGCTGGGAGTTTTCTTCAAAACACTTTTTCATACAACCACGTTCCAAATAACATAAAGCTTCCAAAACATTGAGATATTGATAAAAACAATGAATATTGATCAACATTCCAATAACCAAAAGCACTCCCTGTAGGCTTTACAGGCCTACAACTTGAAAACAGAACATCCTACAGGGCTGATGGGCTCATTCTCTTCATGTTGAGCAGACGAATCATTTATATATTGGATGTCTGTGTTGGCCAGTAGACGACGATAAAGACTGTCTGTTCCAAAGTAACACTTCTCTCCTTCATATTGACGAGAGAAATGAGCTCAGGGATTGCGCAATACCAAGATGGCCGCCCGGGAGATATTTTCACACAAAGAAAACAGCTGTTTTTGGACTGAAAACAGTGAAAACATCAAACTTAAGGCAGCAGTTGTAATTGTAAATGTATATTGGTGTGTTTCTTGTTATTATTATCCGGCTAATACGTCTGTGAGATAGTAATTTGAGTGATATGAGCTACATAGCTGATCAGAACTGGAGCTGAGCTTTCTAGTGATCGGACTGCGGTGTAGGATGTGATGAGAGATATCTGGATGGCAATAACTGTAGCCATACACAGTGATTGCAGAGCGATTTATGTTTTATGGATAAAAATGGTTGATTTGACGTTCTGGCTGAGCCTCCTAGCTTCACAGAGGTGTGTGGCATCATTTTCATTTTGTGCGAAAATCGAGCGGACAAGTCCGTGCTTAACTTAAGGCATCAATGTCAAGGCAGACCCTAAAGCAGCATTTTTTCAGCAAAACTGTTGAAAAAATGAAGCTGCAAAACTGTCTACCAACTGCAACATGGCTCTGTCCTTAGAGTAATTGCAGCGTGGTTTCCTGAGCAACCATAGAATCGACATAAACCCTATCAACGTTGTTAGTGACGTAAACATAAATTTCCTTCAATTACTTCCAACCTAACAAGCCTTATTTCCGCAGCTACATCACATAAATTCACAAAAAGAACACCCACTCTAACCCCACTTTCTAGACACACATTTAGTTATCTAAGTGTATGATGTGTTTTGGTAAAAGCTTTGTTTCCTCAGCGGTGGTACTTCTCAATTCTCTGATAATGGAGCCGTCAATGTGTCTCTTTTTGTCATCTGCTGTCAGTCCTGCAGAAAGCCAAAGAGGTCATAATCACAGTATAATTATGTTCATGAGATCATGAATAATCATCAATCAATTGTTGATCCTGAATGAATCTTTATAATGATCACAAGAATTTAGGCTACAGCGAGATTTAAATTTAAAATATATATAATAATATATAATATGCATATATATAGATAGATAGAACAAGAAAAAGAACACCTGTTGTTGAAATGACAAGATAATTACTTGCGATTATGATTGGATTTCTGTCAGAGATGTACCACTGTAGTTTTACTGTACTAGTACTTGTTAGCAGCACTTTTATTTTCTCTTTTCTTGTTGTTTTTTTATATTCTTGCTGAATATCACTGTAAGCTTTGTATGCAAAGTGGTTATTTACCAAGGCCTCTTTGACACTAATGTTAGTAGCTGAACATCAAACACTTTTGTTTACTTCTTTCAATCTCAGATCGCGAGCAGAAGTTTTTCTTTAGTAAGTAATAGTAAGCTAAATGATTTGATATAGCATCTTTGTAGAAGTGCTTCACAAAAAAAGGGCATAAAATATAGACACAATACAGAAATCAATAAAAATAAATAAGTAAAACTAAGCAAAAGCAAGGGTGTGAGCTGCTTTTTAAAAGTGTCCACAAGGTTCTTAAATCCAACAAAACTGAGATCAAGTTAATGAGTCCCAACTTCAAAAACACTTCAGCAAAAACATTGTTTTTACATGCGTCACAGGAGCTTTGGCATAATTAGTTGGATGAAAGTCATGATTCTAAGAACACGGTGTGCAATGCTCAAATCCACAGCTCATTTTCTTGCAACAGTATATGCATTTCTTGTTGCTCTCACATTAAAATCAAATCTACCTGTTCAAATATCTGAAATATACCCAGTTATGCACATGAGTAAAATGTATTACACTGCTTCTCTATTGACTCTGATAGACATCAGAGCAGGATAGAAGGCTGCTCATGAAGAGGGAAATTGTGAAAGAATTAAATGTGTGATAGTTCTTGATGTTGAGAACTGCAACAGGTTCATAAAATAAGCAATTAAAAACACTGTAACTCATTGACTGATTCATTAACCACTAAAACAGTTTATAATTATCCCAGTAGTACACTCTATTCCACAGGCCTGTGGACACATTGATGGCAATGTGTGATAAACATGAACACACACTGTCCAAAACATCCATTAGTTTATCACACTAATGAACAACACTTTTTGGATTAAGCTTTTTATATGGATCAGTGGATAATTGCAATGTCCCTTTCTCTGGTCTTCCATTAAGGATTGTAAGGTAGCTATATCTTATAGATGTGTTTATTGCTAAGGCCTTACACCTCTGATCACTTATGGGTCAGATCTCTCAGGTCATCCAGCACGTCTGAAACCAAAGCTTGTGTATATGCTGTATGTAGCATGGTTATTGTCCCATTTGTTTGTACAGCATCAAAGGTTATTGATCATTTCCCTCCTTTTTTTTTGTCCTGCTGTTGCAACAGATATCCAGTATAAGAACATTTTCAACACAGCAAATTTTCAACATCATTTTGTAATATCAATATCTTCTTTTGAGATAACAAGAGCTGAATTTATTAATTAGTGTCTTCTTTTAAGTGCAGCATAGTCGCTCAACACCCAGAGAAGCAGTGATCTCTTGGGGATTTGCTCTGTTGTGCTGCACTTGTTAATATCATCTGTCACTCTGGCAGCAGACAACAGAAGTTAATGGCCTAAGGCAACAAGTAAATATGCAGAGTTAGAAGCAAATAGGAAAAAAAGGGTAGGCGGCATTAGCTTAGTCCATGGGGGCACCAGTTTGAGTCCAACATGGACAACTGCCGAAGGTGCCCTTAAGCAAAGCCCTGAACTTGTACTGCTCTCCAGGCACTGCACAATAGCTGCCCACTGCTCCGAATTAAATTAAATGGAGAGAACAAATTTCCCCTCTGGTATGATTAAAGTATATGAGAAAAATAAAGTAATTGATATTTTCTGTCTTTCTGGAACATAGTCCTTACATTTCCATACAGAGTTGATATTTTGCTACAATGCTCTGACATTGTCACTCAATACACACCCAAAGCTGAGCACAGCAGAATTGTTTGGGATTATAAAAAACTATTATCTATCTGTCTATCTTTTAATGGTATCTAGGTGTGGACCTAGCTTTGGTAGAAGAAGGGAATCCCATTTGTGGTGGTAACAGCTCTTATTTCCAGAAACATTTACATTGTTGGGCTCTAGATAAGTAAGCACACTAGGAACACACTTTGTTCTTACAGTATTTTCTAGAGCCTTTGTGCTGTGCTATAAAAGTCAATATGAGAACGGAGTCACTAAATATTGTACAGTGCTGTACAAGCTAAAAATAGTTTAATTCAGTCAGCTAATTAGTTTTATAAATTATTACTTAAGCCTAAGCGTGTGCATGGCGAGACCATCTCAATATCCATGTCCTGCGGTGCTGTGACACTCAAACAGACAAAACAATTAGTGAAGCATGATAGAGAGTAAAGCTATAGCATGTAAATACTTTTATTAGAAGTCAATGGATCGTTCACTGATCTGCATTAATGGAAAACCTAACAAATTCATTGTATCTCAGTGTTGAAGTGTGAGGTAATCCTAAGAAGACGTCCTTTCACTTCAGATTTTTATGCAGGAGCTTATGTTTGGTAATACATAAATTGTTATAATTTCTTTCTATTCACTCACTTAACTTGTATGCATATTTTGAGTTGAATAAAACCTCCACTACAGACTCACAGCAGAAAATATTTTATTTTGTCATTTCAGTGTGTATTACATTTTCTAAACCATTTTTGATAAAGATTTATTTAAATATATATGCTCTTAAAGTCTGCAGGCTGTAACGTTTAATAATGCTACATGATTAAACAGAACAAACAGAGAGACACTTAACTATATACTGTAGATGTAAAGGGGAAAATCACAGTAGACACACTGGACGAAAACTGATCAGTTCAAAGGAAAATTTTCTGTGTGGAAAGAGGAAAATTCCATTTTACACAATCTGAGCAGAATACAGCTTTTAGGCAAGAAGATTTTTCTTTTTACAGCTTTGAGGTAGGACACAAGCTTACAGTGAAACATCGAGAGAGCGAGATACTGAGGATCCGCCTTCATTTGGAGAATTAAACTAAACAAACATCATATCATTTCACAGCTTCAAAAAATTTTAATACACAAAATACACAACTCTTAAATGCTTAAGTGCACTCATTGATAAACATATTCATTTAAATATGATATTTTACACCAAAGAGAAACATGCCATGAATACAATCATTACAAAATACAAGTTAGTCAAAAAAAGGTTTTCTTGTGGAGTCCGAAAAGACTCTTCTTTCGAGAACTGTTTACTCAATGTATAACTTTTGACACCTGATTCTTGAGCATCTTACAGCAGAATGTATTCCAGTGCAAATTTTGAGATTTGCAATGCGCGTATGAAATTGAAATACAACTGAATACCATGTTTACACAAGAAGATTTTTACGTCAATTTAAATATACCAGTAATAAAAGTACTATCTTGACAAGACAGAACAGCATCTGCATGCAAGATACAAAAGAGACCAAAAGGACCAAATAACATTCTGCTCCAATTAGAAAGACTTGATACTAGCTCTAGTACTTTCAAAACTAGTCAAAGAAGATGAATCTGACTTTGAAGATTACAGCTGCAGTTACACTTATGTGAGGAAAAGACCACATAAGAAATTGACAAACCTACAGTTAAATATAATGTTGGAAATACTGTGGTGACAGTTTACTTGCACAGGATGGACTTCACATGAGCGGAGGATAAGCACCACTTTGCAGAGGAATGCCATTCCTTTGGACTTTATAAACCTGCATTTCAGTGTTTCTAAAGTCAAATGTCTACATCAATTTCCCCCTACAGCTGCTAACCATTTGAAAAGGGAAAAGGTGAAACATACTGTACTGTAACATTATGAGACACATTCTGTGCTGCTCTTAAAAAGTGCTAGGATAATGTGGATTTTTAAATACTGAAAAAAAGTGCAAGCTGTGGTTAAGGCAAATGGTGGACACAGGAAATACTGAGAATTTTTCACTTTTAGTAAATACAAACCCTTCTGACCAATTGATGTCTGTTATGCTGGTTTCACACAAAACCCAATGCCAGCGCTGGAGGATTACTTTCAAAGTCAAAGTGATCAGTGCGCGGCCATGCGATAAATCCATTGTGTGAGTTAAAAAATTTTAACTCGAGCATGACATTCGCATGACGCTGTGTCGCGATAGTCCTATCAGCATTCAGACTGTCTGGACGTCACCGACGGCTTCAGAGTGTGTTGTGTAGAGGACACGGGGCAGAGCGGCGGGATAGAGCCGCAGCTCGCCCACAAAGAGCTGCTGAGCTAAGGGGAGCTCTGGAGGACAGACCCGGCGGCGGTGCTGGATCTTTGGGCAAATAAACTCCTGCAGTTGGACTGAATTCTGCTCTGACAACCGAGTTGCAAGCACTTCTAAAGTTGCAAGCTTGTAATATTGCTGACAGACCCAAGGAAGCATGACTTAATATTATTAACAAATCGGCATCAGTTATTTCGGCATTAGTTTGATCTGTTTATTGCAATTAAATCACAGCAAAATGTTTGTTTTGGGTTCATACAGCTGAAGTAATGGTGGGTTGGCATTTATTCACATTGTAGCTTTTTGTGTGAACACTTGTGTGAGTAGTACAGCGGTCTAACTCATACGATGAAAGCAATGCGAGTTTAAAAATCCTCTTGCGTTTGAAACCAGCATTAGTGGAACATTATGGGAAGTAGTATTTGACAAAAAAAAGTGTTTTGATAAGTGATGAAACAAACATATTTTTGGTTGTGGACTAACTGTATAAATCTTAATGTTCTTTTTGTCTGTGTAAATATGTTTGTGCATGATTCCTTTCAACTCCTCTCCTGTTTGCCACCAAAAATGTGAATATCATGATGAGACATTCACTCATTAAGAAAAAAGTTAGCTGCAATGTCTTTCACATAAGGCAATCTGTAGTGAGCCTGTCAGCAAAGCTGAATCACTTGTCAAGTCTGCCGCTGAAGGGGCAAATTCAGTGTCACTGTGGCTTCTCTTGGCTCTGGGATCGGCCTGTTAATCATTTCACATTCATTCTGTCGTATGTTCTCCTCATTCATTTGCGACACCTCTGTGGAGCCTGCTTCAAACCCAGGCACAGTGTTGGCTACATGAACCACATGAACCTTATTTCTGCCATTTTTGCTGAGGATGCAGCTGAACACTTTTTTGAAGCCTTTGCGAAAGTGCTTGGACACCAGAGCGTACACGATGGGGTTGACACAAGAGTTGGCGTAGGCCATGCAGTGAGAGAGAAGCCTGAAGGCATACGTGGTCTGATTGAAAGGGAAGTCTCCATACAGGTAGCACAAGATCACCACATGGTAGGGCAGCCAGCATATGCAGAAAAGCACGGTGACAATGATGATCATTTTGGTGACTTTGCGTTTGGCCCTCTTAGATTCCGACATGCCGTCCAGAGGGTCGACGGCCGTCCACAGGTACTTGATGGTTCGAGTGTACGAGAGGCTCACAATCAGCACAGGGATGATGTAGCCAAACAGGAAGGTGCACGTGTCCAGCACCTTCCGGTTCTGCTCCTCCCAGCCAGGGATACACACAGTACTGTTGTCGAAATCAATCAGGTCGTAGTAGCTTAAGTAAGGACCCGCAAAGACCAGGGAAAGGCCCCAGATGATCACCATGGCAACTACTGCGTTACATGGGGTTCGTAGCTCTCTGGAACGCAGCGGGTAACGAATGGCCAGATATCTACAAAGAGACAAAATAAAACATTAACATGTGATTCAAACCACATGAACATGATAAATAGTGGACATGCTGAACCAGTGTGCTATGGTATGATAATTATAGGCTAAAAGAATATAATCATTCTACTATTCTGATCATTAAAGCAAAAATGAAAGCTTCATATAAAAATCTTGATTCTTAAACTAAAATCTATTTCATGGACATATTGTAAATATTATCACAAGAGTGAAAACATTTACTAGTTCATTAGCCAATGGGTACTATTGTATACCATGCTGTCCAGATTTCTTCTCAGTGTTTTGATGATGAAATTGTTTTGCCGAAACCAAATCCCTCTAAGGGTTAATAAAATGGAAAGCTACAGTTTTGTGTCAGTCATTAGCTTTTATGATTGTCTTTTATAAAATTGTATTATTTCTTTACACAAACAAAGAACCAAATTGCAAAACAAGAAAACATATATCAATTATAATACAACAATATGTGTTGCATTGGCTTACATATGAATGACATGATATACATTTCTATATACATTAGTGCCATGTCAAAGGAAAAACTGTATTGTATATGAGTATGTATATGAGTTATTTGTGATAACAAAGCGAAAAAGAAAATCAAGGAAGGGTTGCCAAATATTCTAAAATAGGTTGTCATTACCCTATTATAGCAGCGACATGTTCCTCAGGAAAAACCTTAAATATTTCTGTGTACTATTTTGTGATGTTGTAAGGTTTTTCCACTGCAACAAAATGTATTGCCTTGCTAAAAGCAGAAGTTTACACATTAAAGCCCCCCACTGCCACCGCAGCATGAGTGAAGATGACATGATGAAAATTGATTTTTGATAACTTAATAACTTGATAACTTTAATAATCAAGGGAATATCCAACACAGGTGCTGCCACCTCTACACTCACTGTCACAAGCATACTGGGGGTTCTGTGTTGGATGATAATCAGTCGCACCACAATGGTTTGGGGTGTTTATTGAATAAAAAGCACTGTAGTGGCTGCAAATAGGTTTTGTGGGAATTTCAATAGGATCTGATTTTGCATGCATCACTTGGTAAAATCATGACAATGGCAGAGAACATGACTGTGCCTGGTGCTGTGCATTTGATGTTGCGGAGCAGGTAGGCGATAAAGGCTCAAATCCCACACACTATGTTCTATCGTGAAAAAAAGAGCCAGATGTTTTTATGGCACCAATGGCTTTCAATAATTAACACCGCACTGCTTTCCAGCTATAATTGCTGAAGTTATTGCCTCATTGTCACTCAGTTTGTTTATCTTTGAACATGTGAAGCTGAACTTCATATTCAACATGCAGCCAATGCTTTCTGATGGATAGAGTGTACTTGAGGTACAGAAGCTTTTTTTCCTTTGCCTTTCCCAAGACAGTGATTCTGGGTGAAGCTGCAAATCCATGTCCTCCCCTTCCACATTTACAGGACACTTGAAATAGCTCTCCAGAATCAAAGGAAAAAGCCTCTCTGGTCTTTGAAACCTCACTGAAATGGGGCCAAAGACACTTGAAAGGAAAAAAGCAGATACCTTGAACATACTTGTCACATATGGAAGCTCAGTGGAACAACTCAGACACCACTCTGTATGCTTGGCTGAAGTTTTCTGATTTATATAAAGAAAAGGCAAGGTTTGACAAGATGCTTTGCTTTTTTGTTTTTGTTTAAGTTTTGCTAAATCAACTACTACCAATTAAAATGTAGAAAAGCAGTCTGTAAAGATTGAATGAATAACAATCACCACATTTTCTGTGAAATTGAGCCCATGATTAAATCTCAGAGTATCTCTCACTTCACAATCCCACTTCTATAACCCAGATGCTGTTCCAGTATTTTCTTTCCCAATGTTTGCAGAAATGTAACATTGATCAAATCTTTGCTCAAATATAGATACAAACTGCTATGCATTATGTATGACTGCAGCCTCAACAGACATACATTTAAACAAAGAGGGTAATATAGGTCTCTATATGGACTTTTTCAAATAAATGTTTAGGCATTGGAGACTGCATGAATGTTGAATTTTGTTACCTCAGTTACATGTTACCAGATCTCAAGTATTACAAGTGCACATTAACCCCCTGGTTAGAAGTAATAATGGCAAATTGTTTTGTTGTATATGGAATCATTTTCACAGTTTGGATATTTCTTAAACATATGATCTGCCTGTGGGTAGCACACTGCAGAAGAAAATGCTTTCAATTATAAAAAGTGTGTGTGTGTGTGTGTGTGTGTGTGCTGCTGTTCATTCAGGTTGAACTGTGATTTTATTCCTGGTCTATAGTGTAACTATCAGCTGCTGCTTCTTTTTATTTGCTACACAGGAACTGTAGAGGAAAACAGACAAAAGTCATTAACCTCCCAACTTAGATGTTCCTGCTCTTTTCTAGACTGAGGAGGAATTGTCTGGCTTGCAGACTGAAAAATCTATTGAATCCTCTAAAGTGTAAACACAGCCAATGTGATCAGAGGGCATTCGCTGCAGAGGTCAGCTGCACACTTACTCTGTCCATATTGACTGAGCTGACAATGTTGGCCAATAGTTATGATGACTTACAGCTTACTCTCAATGGGGTATAATTTTCAGCCAGGGATAATGTATGATTCTCTCATAAGATATTTAATTACAATTCCAGCATCTCTGTAAGGTCTAATGGGTCCTCTGATGTCTGATGTGTACCTCTGGGGTCTGTTCTGGATGTTCCCACAGTAGTTTTAAAAAAATCTTCAGATGAGAAAAATACATTTGTAATTAATTAAATGCACCATACCGTGAAACGATGTGATGAAGCAGTAAATAATATAATTCATAGCATGAACAGACAGTGTGGATTTAAATAAAAGCTTTCTTGCAGCTTTCCTTAATGATTTGAGGCTTGACAATTGTTGTCTTATGAAATCTGTTCATACTATAGAGACGTTAATATGATTTCCATCTATAAATACTATCACTGAGAATCCATGCAAGGGTACCAATTTATAATAAGGGTACAACACGTCTAAGTATATCCTTAACTAATGCATGATTCATTGATTCACTGAATCATGCGATTAATTAACACCTACATGTTGCTGCGTGACCTGCGTGGTCTTTATGTCAAATTTACAAGAGTGGAACGTGATTTTTTTATTATTTTACTTTGTTTAATATTTAGTAATCAAAGTATCACATCATGACTTTGCATGCAGGAATAGATTTCAGATAAGTAGTGGTTATCTCTTGGGGTCTTCTGTTAAACTTAATCATGTCTGTCCATTCTTGTTCTTGATCTGACAATTGGCACCTGCTAGATGTTTTTGGTTTACCGCACCATTCTCGCTTCCATACTACCTCTCAATTTCCACCTCCCTAGATTTTAAATGTAACATAAAGACCACTGGGTCATGCAGCAACATGTAGATGTATACAAGGCTGACTCTGTTTTAACTTTTGAGAACACTTTTTAATTATTATTTTTTTTTTTTATTACAGGCATTTTACGCCACCTATCGCCCAGACCCTGAAACCGGATGGCCTGTTATGCTAGAGTTCACCGCAGAGATGGCATTGGAGGTTGATACCCTGAGGTAAAAAGATGCCATCTAGTAGAGCTATGCAATTTTACTAGTGTGTGTACTATGTGTTTGTAGGTGGCCTGTGGAAACATTGGTTTACATTGCAGCTGCCTTAAATGTCCAGTCCTTGTTGGAGTCAGAGCTGCATTGATCATTTACTGCTTTGTTTGAGGTACATTTTGCAGATATATGTTTTGTGGTATGTGTTAATTAAATTCTTATAATTTTAGGGTTGTATAGCCACTACTATTTTCCCTGTCTGATCAACTGCTGCCATTTGTGTCCTGATTTTATATGTGGATTCTTTTTATTAGACTCTAGCCCTTTTGTTGGTGTTGTTTTTTGTGTGTTATTTGCTGTGTTTAGGTTGCGGCGCACCAGTATAAGCTGTGTTAGGGTATCCTGGTGGCCCACAGGTAAGCTGCTGCATGTCTGGCTTCTGTAGCGGCAAAGGTGTTTTAACACTTTGCCTTTATCCTTTTAGCATCCCTGGCAGCATTGGCATCAACATCTTGTCTGTTTTAGTGTTGTTTGAGTTGGTGTGGTGAATAAAATAAAGGTGAATCCTACAGCTATTAATATGAATGAATAAATTAAGTAATTTGATCATTGTAGCAAAGGAATATTAAAGGGGAAAAATAAAGGTTGCACAGCTGATTCAACAAAACAGCTATGAGTGCATGAAGTTGTAATTTGAGACCTTATATGAACGCTATAACGGATTTATCATGCATTTTCCCTCATGAATCTTGACACTTACAACACCCTGTACAGGAGCGTAAAGCAAACCATATGTATGAAGATGATCAACTACTGCTCAGTTCAATTAGTCCAGCCACAGAATATTAATCAGCAATACCTATCATCAATTCACAGTTTATGTCATTTATCATGTGAAAATGTAGAACATTCTCTTCTTAAATGTGAATATTTGCTGCTTTTCTGTGTTTTATGTCGTTGTAAATACTTTTGGGTTTTGGACTGTAGGTCAAACAAACCAAGCAATTTGAAGATCATCTTGGGCTTTGAGAACTTCAACTAAACCAATTAAGTGGTTAAATGCAAAAATAATTGACAGATTAATGAATAATGGAAATAACCATTACTGTAACTGCAGCCCTATTAGCAACAACCTTTTCCAAAGTAAGCAAATGGCTCTATGAGAAATGTGGCCTTAATCATCAAACGCTATTTCTTTACAACAGGCTACTTATTTCAAGGTCATTTGATAATTGTATGTTACTTTCAAATGTCACATAATTGCCTTGTAGGTAGGTGGAAATGAAAAATTGCTGTGTTGTATAATATGTTGTAGTGTGTTTATATACATAATTAAATAATTTCTCTTAGGATTGAAAGATAATGGTCAACATACCGGTCAACAGAGACGGCAGCAAGCGTGAAGCTGCTGGCGTACATGGTGAGGTTGATGAAGAAGTGGACCACTTTGCACATGAAGGAGCCGAACACCCAGCCCTCCAGAGAGTAGATGGTGGCTTGGAAAGGAACGCAGAAGATGATGAAGAAGAAGTCGGCCACACTCAGGTTGAGTATGAACAGATTGGTCGTGTTGTATCCAACCTGCCCGCTCCGCAGAAGCACAGCAAGCACCAGGCTGTTGCCAATGGTGCCCAGCAGGAAGATGAGGGAGAAGACCACCGAAACAATCACACTGGTGGGGTTCAGCTGGTAGCTGTCAGACACATTCACCTGCCCTCCTGGCTTGCTGAAATCCTCAAAGTCAGACATTTTTCAAGTCTGACATAGGAAAGAAAACATGCGTGTGTCAAGCTAATTGTAAGCACTTTCCTGGATCTTTTGACAGGTTTACCATGTCTCCTGGGTGGAAATCTTAAATCAACTTAGAGACAGGGCTCATGCACTGGTGGTCAGTATTGATACGATGACAAAGGAGCTCACTCAGAGGGGGTTTAATGACAAGTTAGTCTTTACAACTTTTGAAATTATACTAAAAAAACTTGACAAGCCTCCATGCACCAGAAGATTTCTTTATCCAATTAATCCCCAGTCGAGTCATGTCACACATATTAAGACAAGAACGAGAGGGTGTTTTTAATTGGCTGGTGGCTTTTTGTCAGATTTGTGCTGGGAATATTTTCACTGTTTTTTAATTAAAATTAATTACAATTGAGTAAGATTGCAATGCAGTATATCTATACATTTAAATCTAAATTCAAATGGAAATTTTACCAGATTAAATTACATGGTAATGCTAAATTCATACTTTATTGGACAGCATTTGTTTTAAAAGGTTTTCTGTCACATCCACACAGTGGTCACCTTTAAAGTGAAGATTTAGTGCTGCCATTTATGCATGTTATACACTGCAGAGATTTGTTGGCTTCATAAAAGAACGAGAGGGTTTCAGGTAAGTGAAATGGGACATTTACAGCAGCCAGTTCGCTTCTCCTCATCTTTAATCCAAGGAATTGTGTCTTAAACCCGGAGCTGTTTGAGTGTGGTCGTCTCTCACTCTCTAAAAGCGGGAAGAGCAGAGGTCCATCTCAGGTTTATCTCTGTCCATTTCTGATCAGCAATAATGTTATATTAGGCTGCATATTAGAGCCTCCGAGGTGTACTGTCAGCTGTTTTTCCCCTGTCAATTTGTCATATTGCTGAATTGTGAGTGATGCAAAATTGGGGCTTGAAAGTAAAGAGGTTCTCTTGATGGTGAAGTTGATGAGTCACAGTGAAGTGAACGTTTAATTAAATTCCATCTTTAATGAACACCTGAGACTGCAAACCCTATGTGTTTGGTTATGTTTGTAGCTGTGATTTGATGATAGTACGACATTGCTCAGTGCATCAGTGTGTTGTTTGGTAAAATTTGGTTGATGTTTTTTAACCATATCTGAATTAGGAAATTACATGACAAGACCATTTAGTAGTATATATACTTAATGTCTAGGGTTGATAAATTGGATTGGACTCCCGTACATCTGAAATCACAATACCTATTACCTGCATTTAAAAATGTCACTTTGTTGTAGCCTTCTCATGTGGAAACAAGACCCAAATTGAGTGGCAGTTGAGATCAAATACACATTTTCAAACAAAAGAAAACAACCTATTATGCCAAGCTCAGGCTACAACCAATATCAGCAGTTTTCTCCCCAGAAATTATGAAGGAATCAATCACAGAACTATTGTCTTTTTAAGACAGTAAAGCAAAGTCACAATGAATTAAAAATCTTTAAATATAGACCATTAAAATCTGAAATGTTGTGGCATTTTCAGACATCCTTAGGCTTTTTTGCTTCCATTTCTCAAATTTCAGCAAAACGAATTATTAAACATTATTAAACCTTCAGCATCCTGCCAGTATAAACTCCGTTGGCAATCTGCATAATCATGACCGAGAGAAAAAAAAAGAGGATGTACTGATCAGTCAATGGCAAATGAATGATAAATAAAGTGGAAAGAACATATTCTTATTATCCTTATGTAGAGGCATTATTATAGCAGCATCAGCTGCAGAGGAATTTCCCTCACACCTCTGTGTCCATCCCTGACTTTAGCAGCCTCTTTCATAGTGGTGCTGATCTCCCTTTCTTCCCACAAGGAAAGACTATCTGAATTGATACTAAATTTCCCAATGCATTATAGGATATCAGGGCTAAGACTCCAGCCAGAACATGTGCTAGAGTATCAGGGTAGAACAGAGAAGACAGGGTTTGACACACAGGAGCTTTATGAGCTAGTAACAGAGCATGAGGGACTGGACAGGTTGTGAAATTTGCAGACTTTGGCTGAGCTCAGCGTGACGGATGTGAGGGCATAATTCAGAATTTTTGGAAAACCAAACGACGAGCAAAAAAAACAGCGGAGCCAGAGAGGAGGAGGAGGGTGATGAGGATGTAGCACAGCCAAAACCAGACAGGGAAAACACCTTCATTTTGACAGGAGTAGCAAAAAATGACAAGCAGGCACAGATAAGGCAACATATTCCATCACCGTATTTTGCATATTTATCACAGCAACAGAGCTTGAGTAAAATACATTATATTAAATATTCCTCTAGCAGGTGCCAGCGTAAGATGAATATCCAAACTTTAGATATCAGCCAAGCAGATTTAACATTTCTGTATCTTGTAATCAAATTATAAAAAAAAAAATATGCTAATTGTGTGTCCTACATTTGAACAGCAAATGTTCCATAGATCCTTTAAAAACATTTCTGTTCCACACAAACGGTAGAATCAGCATGCAGATCAGGCAGATGCAGTATGATAAACGTACCAGGCTGATGATGAGTGGACAGTATCCAAAGCTTCAGCGCACCGCTCAGATTAAGGATGACACTCCCAGCAGACCTGCTCTGTTAAGATGCTCATACTCTTTACACTGATGCCTCTGTTCTCCCAGTGTACATCGCTATCTGCCTGTGTTGCTGGTATCTTACTCTTTCTCCACCCCTCCTCCACCCCACCCCTCTCCCCCTAGTGAGGACTCCTCCTCCACATTCACTTTAATGTTCTCCACTGCAGAAAAGGATTGCAGAGCGAAGGTATGGAGAGAGTCTGCAGTGCCCAGCAATCTTTTCACAATCTGTGCATAATCGGGAGGTTCCCTGACAAATAACCTTTAAACAACATTGATTGTCCCTCTAAAGAGTCTGCAGCTGCACCCTAATCTTCAAACGAGGCCATAAGCTCAGCATTCATCTTTAACATAATTAGTGGAACCATTATGTGCTATAAGGGGGGTCTGTTTCAGTTTAGCCAGTCAATTCAGGAGGGACATTGGTTGAATAATATTCTGTGTAAACATTGTTGGAGCTTTTTATTTGTGAGTAATGTTATTTCACCATCAGGTTTTCAAAATTAAAACAGGCAGGTGATATCACTTTGGATGCGTGGGACAGTGAAAATACTCACTGGAAATTACTTTTCATCCAACAACTATTTAACCTGACAATTACTATTCATTTCGCAACATACTTAATTAAATAACATTTCCAAACACGTTTTCTTATTTACGTATGTAATAACTATGCGACTAACTTTTGGGATCAGAGGAATCCCTTTTATAAATCTTTAGCTATTTTAATGTGCATCTTCATTCTAGACCATAGAGTCTTCAGGCTAAACATTAATATCATATGGTCAATGATTAATACATGCATGACTTTTGGTCCAGGGGTCTGAGCTTTGGAGGGTTTAGATTCACTAATAATAATTGAGCTGTCTTGGTGTACAGGAAAGGTTTTCATGAAATGCATGTACAAAAATCTCTCCTGGCTTGATGTTTCAAGCAGTTTACTCCATTCATTACTTTATCAGAGATGTCATAATCACAAAATCCCCCACATATCACAAAAGTTACTTGTACTACTATAACTACTGTAATACACATAACTATTTTACTAGACATGCAGCAATAAACGGCAGTGTATGTAACATGTTGATTGAGCAATGTACGCCTATTCAAGAAGTGTCCAGTTTTAAACTATTATTAAAAATGCATCCTCTGAAAAGAGTAAAACCTTAAATATTATTTACCTTTCGGTCTCGTGGTTCTATCTACTTTCTTATATGGACCCCAGGAATACTGTTATGATACAGCAGCTAATGGGGATCCAAATAAACAAACAAACAGGGGGGGAAAACGGTGGAATCAAAATCACAGCATGTCCGAGGTAAACAAAATGGTCAAGCCGACTTCATGTCATTTCAAGAGTCAGCAGGGGACAAGAATGACTAATGCAACTGAGAATAGGCCAGCAGGACCAGTGTCATCGATTGCAAATTTTGTGTCATGAATCATCTAATCACGACTGATACCATCCGCTAAATAAAAAGCCTCTTGACAAATTGTAGAAAAACAAAAATCAAAATCCAGAGAGGCCAGGGACTAGACAGGGAATTCTCCGGCGGGTGGCCTGAGGGCAGAGCAGGGGGGTCATAAGGTCCATAAGGAAGACAAAACAGGCAAATCAGGGTTAGGGAACAGTCTGGGGGAACCACCCAACAGGCAGATCATGGCCAGGAAACAGGGCAGGTAAGGCGCTTGGCCTAACATACAGGGCAGGGCAGAGGGGCAGAACAGTTCAGGAGGCCGACCAGGAGGTCGTTTGAGCAGGCCAGGAGGGTAACACAGTTCAGGTGGTCGTCCCGGAGGACGACCCATGAGGCCAGGCCGACCAGGGGGGCCACAGGGTTCGGGAGGCCGACCCGGAGGACAACCCAACAGGCCGGGCAGAACAGGGGGGCCACAGAGTTCGGGAGGCCGTCCCGGAGGACGACCCAACAGGCCGGGCAGAACAGGGGGGTCACAGAATTCAGGAGATCGGGCAGGAGGCCAGCGCTGAGGGCGGAACCTCTCTGGAGGTTGGTCAGGAGGCCGACGTAGGAGGCCTGAGGCCTCAAGTGGCAGAGCTGGACTGAGGACCACGGGCGAGGCGGCTGGGCTGAGGACCACCGGCCAAGCAGCTGGGCTGAGGTCCACGGGCGAGACAGCTGGGCTGGAGGACATGGACTGAACAGCTGGGCTGATTACCATAGACCGGACACAAGGAGCTGGAGTCAGCCTGACCACCGACTGGACAGCTGGGCTGGAGGCCATGGACTGGACAGCTGGGCTGGAGGCCATGGACCGGACACGAGGAGCTGGAGTCAGCCTGACCACCGACTGGACAGCTGGGCTGGAGGCCATGGACTGGACAGCTGGGCTGGAGGCCATGGACCGGACACGAGGAGCTGGAGTCGGCCTGACCACTGACTGGACAGCTGGGCTGGGGACCATGGACCGGACACGAGGAGCTGGAGTCGGCCTGACCACCGACTGGACAGCAGCGCTGGGGACCATGGACCGGACACGAGGAGTTGGAGTCGGCCTGACCACCGACTGAGCACTAGGAACAGGAATCGGCTGGGCCACCAACGGAGCTGGTGCTGGTCGGGCCACCGACGAGGGAACAGGAGGTCTAGAGACCATAGACTGGACCCGAGGAGCAGGGCTCGGTCTGGCCACCGACGGAGACCTTGTAACTGGTGTCAGTCGGACCTTCGACGAGGGACCAGCAACAGGTGTCGGTAGGACCACCGAGTGAGACCTGGGATCAGGAGCAGGCCAGGGATCAGGCAGGCGGGGGACAGGTTGGTTGCCGACAGGTCGCTGATGGTGACCTGGTCGCCTCCGATGACCACCACGGGAAAGATGGCTAGGCGACTCCCTTCAAAGGACGACTCTGGGGAAAGCCTAGCCTCCAGGCTATCAGGCCATAGGCTAGCTGCCCGTGCTGCCTCGGACTCCCTGGCCTTCATGGTCAGGTAGGCCAGGAGAGTCATAGTCCCTGAGTCCTTGGTAGGTAGGGCAGGCAGGCGGACGGACAGGCTAGGCGGAGGACTAGCCGTGCTAGCCGAGCAGGATACAGGCAGGACAGGCGGAGGGCTGGCAGGCAGGACGGCTGCTGCTGCATTGCTCCGTATTAGCCGTATTAAATCATGAATTTCCTACTTAAAGCTGGATATCGTTATTTTCAGAACTATATTGGCTACACGAAGTGCCAGTCATCGGAACAATTGCTTGCAATTGGCTCGGCCTACCCACAAAATAATAGGGGCTGGCTCTTCCTTACAGTGTGGGCTCTCGTTGGCTATTATAGGCTGTGAAAGGGACATGTGAACTCCTACTGGGTCGGATTTGGTGTCACTCAAAAGGTTAGAGTTCAGTGGCTAAATTGAATACAAGAAATCGTAGTTGTTTACATTCAAATCAGAGTTATTACGGTTATAATGACATACAAGCCATGTCTGCCGGCAAAAATGAAACGATGATGTCTCCAAGCGGCAGCATGTACAGATTAAAAAGGGTAGGGCCTAAAATTGAGCCCTGTGTGGAAATTTTTATGTCTTCTGGAGAGAGATTCATCAACACACACAAAGAATTCTTGTTGTGGTACAATCATGCTACTTGTTTGTAGCACTGTATCTTGAAATAGTTTGCATGGGTCGAATCACAGGGATTTTAGCTTTCAAACGGTGTATCATGGGGAGAATGAAGTTAACATAGCTGCTGTGTGCACATACCGAAAGCTACCGACAGGACCTGACGGCCCGTGGGTGGGCCGTTGGAATGTTAAGAGGTTAATTCGTGAAACAACATATTACTTATAACATACTTGTTTTTCTAAACAGTACAATCCGTAACTGACTCCGGACACATTTTAATCATAGTATGAAATTTTGGCATGGCAACAATTTAAATAGTCCACACAGAACTGAAGCTTTGGGAGGACTCAGAGAGAAATGTCCCCCAAACATACCGTCCTCGCTTTTTTTCTGAGCATAAACAACCAAGGGGATGATATCAAGGCACACATATCAAGTTAAGTGACCATTGCACATTGTGTGGGGGTCTGGGGCACGGGGCTTTGGAGCCTCTGGGTCTGGGGCGGGTCTGCGCGCTGGGGGGGCTGGGCCCCCCTGGGCCCGTCCTGGGGATGGGCGGGGTTGTCACTGACTCTGGGGTGCTACTGGTGCTAGAGGGGCTCTTGCTATAAGCCCTGGGCTGGAGGGACCTGGCGTCCTCCTGCTTAGGGGGGTGGGGGACGGGACTGAATAAATGATGGGGCCAGTCAGGAATCTGGTCTTCTAGCCTCCCTATGACCTCCTTCACCTTTCCCCCTTTGGTCATGTCTCACAACATACACCCTTAGGATCCTGGGGGACGGGCAGCCTGCAGGGCGTTTGGGGGGTGGGGCTGCTTTATTGCGGCCTCGCACTTCTTCCTCCCTCACTGCCTGCCCCTCAATTTTAATTACACATTAGACACAGAGGGCTTGGGGGGTGGGAGGGGCACGATGGGAGGCTCCACTACCTGACAGTTGTGGGGTGCCTGTGTCACAACTACCCTCCAATTTTAGTTGCACCTTAGTTACCACACACCTTATCTTCACTCCACCATACAACACTTCACAATCCATGACATGCATCCAACACAAAACAATACATTTACAGAGGCAGGCAGAGGGGTTGAAGGAGTGGGAGAGATTCTCATTGGCCTCGTGTCCTACCCCTGGAGCCCCGGGCGTTGGGGGTGCTGTGGGGTTGGTGGCGGCCTTGCCTGATCTGGGGTGGGCTGGGGGGGGTCGGGGCTCCCCTGGTGTGGGGGCCCGCCCTTGGCCTAGGGTTCTGCGGACTCGGGCTTGTGGCCTTTGCTCATTTCTGGGCGGGTGGTGTGTCCCTGGGCCTGGGGGCCCGTTGTCTCCTCTCCTCGCCTGGGCCCTCTTCGGCAGAGGTGAGGCTCCCGCTGCTTCCCCCTGCCAGCTCTCTCACGGTGGGGGCATTCGGGAGTCTCTGGGGCGCATGACCGGTGCTGTCGGGGTAGGTTTTGGTGCTCCTCCTTGGGGGTGCTTGACTGGGGAGG